ATATATTTTTTCAGTTCGTGACAAAAACTACATGCACAATGAAACAAAACTTTCGCGTCACTGCAAGTTTAAGATGGTCCTTAGTCTCGGTTTGGGTTGAATTCTTTGTTAGATGTTGACCACACTACAGCTGTACATTGAAGAACCCAAGATTATTTTAACTCTTAAAACTTCCTTTTCATTAGAAAGAGTTTCCAATCATCACGTTCGTTAGTTTTGAAACGGGCATGGAGCGCGGTAGTATTTTGCTACCAGTGAAAGTGAATGTATGGCGTGCAAGATCAGAAGAAACTATCCATTAAATACAGCTGGTGGTACTTCCTGGAAGTCTTTTACAAGTAAAACGTTGCGTGAGAGAAGCATCGAAATGAAACTTCATTTTATCATTAATAGCATGTTTTGGCTTAATTCTATTTTCATTTTGAGGTTGATTTCTTGTGTGATTTGTGTAATCATAGACACCTCAAAATGTGGAATAAGTTCAATATATACATTTCAGTTCGTTAATTATAACTTGAAGCATCAACTGATTGTCGAGTTCTTTCAACTATTAAGAAGTTTTTGGATTGTATATCAATAAAAATCTAATTTTAGAAAACAAACTCATTTTTAGAGACTGTGTTTTAGTCGATTTTCCAATAACGATCTAGGAGGCGTTTTTTCGTATGTTAACACATATAATAAAAGGCAACATTATTTTATGACATTAAAATGGTTTATGGCTAAAAACCGTTTGTATGCAGCGGTAACAGCTGGGATAAGACAATGTGATCATATATTAAAACAAAGTCTATATATCGATTGGTATAATATGAAACCACATCTGTATAAGCCTATACATAAAGATAATGAAAAAACCCAACTATTCTCATTAGTAAGTCGATCTCCGAATTGAAATAAAATATGTGTACTTACTCTCCATTTTCAGAATTCGATCTAGAGGAAAAGTCACTCATTTTGTATCATATTAAGCATCCATTTGTGATGTGTTCTAGTTGCAAGAGAATAGTTATTTATATATCCAATGGAAGAAACTTATATCGCAGATTTTCAGCAAGTACAATTTGTAAAGGGGTATGCATTAAAACAAATTTTAAATATGAAATTATTACAGGCAGCATTGGCTGACTTGAATTCATATTTAATGGTTCATTCTTTGGTGATGGCTTAGCAGCCAGAGGCAAATATTTGAAGCATTTTCGGGCCTAGAACAAATAAGCAACAATAAATCATTCAGTAGATTCGACCAAAATGAAGGAAGGGAAATTTAAACTGGCAGCGGAAAAAAAGAACACGATGGATAGGGGTACAATAGAACTTCCAAAAAGTTAATTCAATATACGCTTATAATTTGGATAGGGTACCACAGATACTTCAAAGTGTTGCAATGCAATATACGCTTTCACGAACTGGAGCTATGAACGTTTATTCGGATTCATTTCTTTAAGGTGGTACCAAACACCTTGACTAAAATTGATTTGTCTCGTTTAATTTTCACAAAAATTTTTCAAAATATTTACTTTGATCCTTTAACAAAAATATAAAAATTTCAAAAAATTTAAACCACACACTTTATCGAAAAAATTTCATTGGATATATAGAAGTTTGAAAACACTAATTTTGATTATTGAGAAGCTTAATATTTCCCTAACAATAGAACGTGATTAAAACGTTCAGCTGATTTTTACAGAGTTATCTCCTTGTAGTGTTATGTACCACCTTAACTATTTATCGTTTATTCGGATTTTTCATTTGCGCTACATGATTGTTTTCATTTGCGTCAAAAATCAACAGGTAAAATATAACGGAAACGTTTTAATATAAATTGTATCCTGAATACGAAACTCGTCTACGAAATGTTGTAGAGTAATTGAGTGCATGCTCATTTCTTATACAAAACTGAGTGTCACTTAAAGGTATAAAATTGTATAATGTTCACATGTTCGAGGTAATAAAATGCACATACTTCACTCGGAGCCAAATAAAGATTATACGTCTGTATTTTAAGACCTCACATTTAGTATATCTGATGTACTGAGAAAAAAAACGGAGACAAACCGTATAGATTTACCAAAACAAGTAGCAAAGCCCGAATCAGAACAGACAACAGACCCAATATAAAAACATTGAATGATACAGTCAAACATGATTTAGACATGCAAACAGTACAATCTCAGCTACAATCTCAGCATTTCAAAAAAACTAATCGATGTATAATGTTTTCATTTTGGGTTATTGATGAATGGGGTTTATTATAAATATATTATATTATGCTACCAAAACTATGCTATAACATTATTGTAAAAAGTCTCTTTCAATACAGAAAAAGCAAAAGAAAGATTTTGTTAACTCAAATGAAATGTCAATTGGCGCAAAAGCAAAGCAAATACATATATTTATATTTAATCGTTTAAATGTGTGACAGCTTTACTTCAGACTTTCTCCATCTGATGACCTAAGGCTATGGGGCTGACATAACTAACTACATATACTTTTGCTTAAATTCACCACTATGTTAGATTTGCAAATTTTCTTATGAAAATGTTTGTTCTTCCTACAGTGGCTTAGAACATACGCTGCTGTGACATCGTGACAATAATAAGCGACATAGACCACCCGTCCAACTAGGCTGAAATACAGCCTTCGTTAGTCGACTCTTTCTGGATTTGTAACACAATACGTGATGTACATATTATATGTTATTCGGTATCTTCACAGGGGATATGGGCTTATATTTTCTGTCAGAATATAAAAATTTGTCATGATTTAAACATTAATTACTATTCTGATCTTCGTTTTTGTTCACAGGGGATATGAGCTCATATATCCTGTCAACGTGACCAATCAAAACACAGGATTAGCCGGTGTATTTCATTACAGTATGATATAAATATATATATGTCAGCGGCAATAAGTGAAATTAGGCATTGAGTTTAAATCCTAGTCAATAAGCTAACGCCTAGGCAATAAGTCTATTGCCTAAATAGTGTTCGGCATTAATCTTAAGTCCTGAAAAATGTCCCAAGGCATTAATCTCAATGCCTAAAATGTAAATGCGAGTAAAAAAAAATATTTGTTCAAAATTAAAACACATTTGGTACATAATAACATGATTAGAACTGAAGTTTAAAATGTCAACTCCTTGATATAAAGTCACCAGTTCTGACCACTTTATTTTTAAACTCGGGTATAACCAAAGCTGTAAATTCACGACCATTGTGATAATGTAGTTTATGGGACGCACTAAAAAATAAAAACGTTAAAAATATGAAGCCCTTCATTAAAACAAAAGTAACCTCTATTTTTAAAAGCACATTTTGACGTACAAAATCTAATGTTAAAAACTTTTGTAAGTTGATTTTGGTATGCTATAAGACATTTATAGTTTTCATTTTGGTTTAATTGGAAATCCATTAAATCAACCTGTCCTCTACTATTGAACTCTTCGGATAAAATGGCTTTCCATTCTACTCCCTTTCCTAAATACATTTTCTTCGTGTTACAATTTTCCAAAAGTGAAAGACATTGTTCGATGGAAACATTTGCATAGCCATGGAATCAGAAGAAATATTTATATTGACATTGTTGTATTCTTGTCTTTCATTTTTGCTTATGTACTTTGTCTATAAAGTGTCTATATGCCATTTCGTTTTTCTTTGTTGAAATTGTTATTATTTGTTATAGTGATTTAGATTATAACATAATGTTGACTGCTGTACCCCAATTTTTGACATTTTACCTAAAATGTCTGTTTGTTTTGGTCAAAAATTGTTGTCATACAAGTGAAAGGATTAGCTAGCTGCAAAACAAGGTTTAATCCATCATTTTCTACATAAGGAAAGTGACAGTTGTTTTTCATTCGTTTGATGTGTTTGAGCATAAATTTTGATTTCGCCATTTAATAAAGGACTTTCCGTTTTGAATTTTCCTAGGAGCTCGGTATTTTTTATTACTTTACTTTGTATATAGTCACTACTAAGTTGTCTAAATCATACGGTCTCTGTCGCCATGACCTGTTCATATAAAAATAAGGAGATGTGGTATGATTGCCAGTGAGACAACTATATAATCCACAAAAATTCAAATGAAGTTGATGTAAGAAATTATAGCCAACATTACGGCTTTCAACAATGAGAAAAACCCATACCATATAGTCGACTATAAAATTAAGGCCCAAACAAGAAAAATGTTAAATGTTTCTTTTCCAAAGTACCACGATAAAGAAAAAAATAGATTTTGATTTTTTTTCTCATCATTCTCCTTTACTCTACTTATCAATCTTTCAAAGTCCCCTAAGGTAAAAAAATGTCATACGTTTTTTTTCTAATTGCAGTAGTCTATAGTTTTTTCTGGGGATTCTAAAAGTTAAAAGTTAAAAAATTATCTTTGTAAAATCTTTTAAATTAGACCAAGTGTATATCAATATTTGGAATACAATTTAAGAAATACTTTAAATCAAGAATATTTTACGATTGTATATCTACTTGGAAGATAAAAAAAAATCCAAAAATTCACTTATTGCCTGAAATGATGTTTGGCAATAGGTTGAATAGTCATCATTATATTTCAGGAAATAAGCGTAATGCCTGAAAATTTCTGCTTATTGCCTAGGATTTAAGCTTAATGCCTAATTTTACTTATTGCCGCTAACATATATAAGGGAGAGAAAAAGAAGAGTGGTGAATACCATTTTATAAATTATGTCTGGAATCGTAATTTATTTCTGGAAAATACAGATATACATTATGCAGAAATAAGGGATGTTCTCCTCCAGTAAGTAGTGATACCGATGCACGATGCATTTATGTTTGAATATCAATAATTGCTAGGAAAATTAATTTTAAACTAAAATTTTATTCATCGTTGGCTATCGATAGAATACACGAACGTTGTACGTATTATGAACAATGTATTCACCTTTTTTTTCTTAAAAATATGTGAAAAATCATTACATTTCTACATGTCAGAAGTAAAAATTATATGAACAACGCCCTGAATATATCATTTAAGCATTATACCTGCCAATCAAAAGAAAGTCATAATTACAGAAAAGCAACCTGCTTTTGACTTTGAGTGAATAATCAGCTCTTCAGAGTATACCTTAATTACCTTATTTACCTGTCTCTTCGATAAAGCGTTGATTGTTTGAACCAAGATCAATGCAGAGCTACTTAAGCGATGACTCGGGAAACTGCTTTTACATAAAATAAGGATGGATTTTAACAACTAAATGAGATTTCTGTAAATTCTGGTGAAAGCGGAAGTATTTAAAGGTAAGATCAATGTGAATTTTAAGTATTTATATCCTGATTTGTTTCTTTTTTTAAGTGTTTTTATCAGTCTCTATTTACTCACGGTTACATTAGTAACCAAATAAATATCAGTGATGATTTTTGTCCGGCATTATAGAAATACGACTTATTTCGTTAAACAATATTTTCAATGTACACATTTTTGCGCCAAACCTTGTTTAATATAGGCTGGACGTTATTTCTTATTCCTTGATGTTTTTTATTTTACATGTTTAAATCAAACTTCCAATCAAACTGTTTAGATATGACATATTGAGTATTTTTTCTTAGAAATGTACATTTCTACTCAATACATGTTCAATCTCTGTTCCCAGATGGTAGTCATGACAGTACATGTATCTTAATTTTCATCCAAAGCAAACATTTTGGATATATTATTTCAGATTTAGTGCTTATCTCTGGTATAAAGTAAGCAAATTTAAGATTATCTCCAAAGATTTAACACTATTACGTATATATAGTATTCAAATTCCCTCTTTTCATATATTCCTTCAGCTTATCCCAACGTAATTACCATTAAGCACACGAAACGGTTATAGCTTGCATATAAAAAAAGAAAACAGACGAAACCTATCTACAAAAACTTGGTACTTATTGTTACACATTCTGGTGCAGTCATTTTACCCAGATGACAGGGAAGAACTGTCACATTATTGCACGATATATAAATGACGGGGAAGAACTGTCACATTATTGCACGATATAGATGTTCACGATTATATAGACAACATAAATGTGTGTTTTACATATGACAGACCGAGCTCAACTGGTCAGGATGTTTATTCGATACTTCGAATCGGGACAACTTAGATCTTGACATATTGTATGACACTTGTCTATTATGATAGTTGATCAAAGCTTGGAAACCTCTAGGTGTAACTTGATTTTTTTTATCTCGTTAGGTTGCTGTCTCATTTACGTATACCCATATCACAATTTTTCACATTTAAAGAAAACCTATTATTCAAGAGGAGACTAGTTCTATCTGTATTTTAGACAAATGTAAAATATGGCTGCTGTTGTTCTGTAATTTTGTCTTTTGACTATTGTATTATTAATCGTTACCGTACTTGCTTGCAAACTTTAGGTTTTTTTCTGGGTTAAAATTAAAAAATATTATATATATAATTTATATATTCTACGATTGACCGCACAACGTATGGATTCACGAATGCGCGAAGCGTAGAGTGAGTTGTCCCTGTCGTTAGCACACGACATGAATAGTTTTAGATATTTGACATCTTGGATTAGTTATTCTTTTTATATATAACATTAATTGTTTATGTAAATGAATTAGAACATGCAAGAAACTAAATACTTTTTTTTTCTACTTGTACTCACTTCATGTTGATGTAGCGCCTGACATCGGAGGAGTGAACATATTGGATTTATTTCACGTGTAAAATATCAATTTTTATTAGAGTGGGAAATCAAGGTTTTTCATTGCAGCCATTGCAAGAAATGACTGCTGTCAAACTTTAGTTTATAATAACTAAATAAGTATCTCTTGAGTAATTACAGACAAATATTACGTAAATGTTTTATGACCTTTCAGATGATCTGCAACCTGACTGAAAACAAACAACATACGACGATACCTCTTAATCGTTTTTTGCTTGAACATCTTGATGGTTTTGTTTTCTTTAAATATCCTCAATTTTTTATATAGTGACGCGTTGTTGTTTTGCCATATCATACAGTCCTCAACGGCCATTAGGGGTACGTAACGGGGAACAATACCCCTAATTAAAATTAATGACCTCAATCTTATTATCGGTAGGCCGCGTGAAAGGAATTGACAAAGTGTTGCTTAGAATGGTAATTTGTGCAAGGAGAAGACATAAAATATCAAAAAATTATAAATAAGGACATGTTGGATGCCTTAAATTTTAGTAAATTACAAATGTTATGTGCAAATTTGGAAAACAATATTCAAGTTGCAAACGTTTAAATAAAACCTTACAGTATGTCATTAGTTAACATAGGTACATAGGAAATAGACATCTGGCAAACATAAGTTATCACAGTTTAAACCTAAAGAACCATTGAACATTATATTAAAACTAACGACTATCATAGATTTACAGGCATCTGACATGGGTTAGGCACCTATAATGTGGCGGGATTAAACATGTTTTTGAGGGCTCAACCCCGCACTAAACTGGGACAGTGGTGTAACAGCATAATTAAGAACAAACTATTAAAACCAGTATAATTGCCACTGGACGTTAAGCAAACAACAATCAATGAACTAATCAATTGGTTTAAAAAGGCATGACGCATTAGGGTGTAATACCACCAAATCATAGTACGTCACATCCGGTTGCATCATACGAAAATAGGTCGAAAAAAAATATTCCCTTGAATTTGACAGTTGTAGGTAATTGATCCTACATTTCATTGCAGTAAAACATTTCTGAGTCATAAACATATATCTTGGGTATTTCAAAGCACCATTATTTCTTTATTTGGGGTTTCTATAGAATATTTTGGAAACTTGAGGTTACATGGTTACTAAAGCTTGTACACAGGTTAAAAAAGGGGAAAAATTTGATTGGTTAACTTCCAGTGATGGTTATTTTCTTATATGCAATGAAATGTTATGTGAAATTTTTTCTATAGAACTGGACAGGATAAATCTTTACTCATGCCAAGTATTTCTTTATTTGAAACAAAGATAAATTCTGCACAATTTTTTGAAAAGTGCAAATTTAACAAAGACTAATAGGGGAAAATCAATGGTGGTATTACACCTTAGGTCGGCAAAAAGCACATAAAACAAATAACAAAAAGTCAAAAAGACAAAAGACACCGAGTAGCAATCTTAGAGTGATGGCAGTAACATAAATCTGGTCGTCAGTGACACCTAATAAATAAATCTAATTTATAAAATATCAATATGTACACATTCATGTGATTTAGTATAAAGACGACACAAAGTCTACGGAAAAAACGACTTTGTGCAATGCCAAAATATAATTATCGACGGGATTTATGACTATACTTATTTAGTTATGTTTTAATTTGATAATGAAATAAATTAAGATTAAGATTATTTTTACATAAAAACCCGGACCCTATATTTGCGTTTTTTTTTATTTATAGTAATTGAATTCGGAAAAAAATTGGCTATATTTCGTCTGTATTTTTAGAATATAATTCACCGCAAAACTGAAAATAAACCGAACAATTTATACATGCATGTATACATAATTTCAGGGTAACAAAATATAAAAAAAAATGTATTGTGAAATATCAGCTGCAACTCGAATATGAAGCTTTGTATGGGGGTAATTGAATCGACGCGTGATATTAAACCTCTTTAAACATTTATTTCAACAGTTAATTTCCTTTGCAGATTTGCACTTTTCATTAGACACATTGACTACTTCTGCAATGTATGTATCATTCTATTATTCTCTGCTCAAAATCAATACCCATCTTTGTAAAAATTGTTTAGCAAATCACCTGAATAATACAAAAGGCCATTTTTCTTTGATTATTTTAGAAATTTATTATCTCAGTTGATATGACTACATCTTAATCGGGAAAAACATGTTTTCATTCATTTTGATAAAAAAGAAAGAACCGGCAGGTTAAAAAGTATCAGGTCTGTGTTAGTCTTTGGTTATCTCTCTTTTGACGAAAGAAAATTACAATGAATTGTAAATTGAGAAAATTGTTGATTCTTTTAATCATTATTTGAGGCGATTAGATAATTTTTATTATTTACTCTAATTACAAGCTTTTTACGAGTTTCAATGTATAATAACTGAAAATAATACATTCTTAGCTAACCTTATGATATGGGTAATTTCATTTTGAATAAAGTGAATCTTTAGGACAAGAACTAACTAAGCATATACGGTCTTTAATAATAGACAACTGTCTTTACTAACTCCAATCGACGTGCATAATGAACCATACTGTATCAACGGATTGTCGCAGATTCTGAATGCAAGCTCAGTTCTTAACATTTAGGTATTAAATGAAAATAAAACTTTATAAATTCCGTACGTCCGAATATTTACCTTGGTCAGCAACGCTCAAACCTAAACATTGAAAGCCATAGATATAGGGGACTGCATTTCGGAGCAGACTTCATACGGCAACACTATTATAATGCAAGATCTTGGGAAATTTCCTGAGTAAATCTCCACAGAATTACAACGCTGAAAAAAACCAGAAGAACCATTAAGTCTTGTTCACGGCTACATACTAGCAAACTGTTGTTAATCAAAAATTATATCAGAGCAAGGATTGACAAACAAAAGTATAACTATAAATTTTATCCCTTTCGATGTTAACTAAAAAGAAAATATGAAAGGACAGTTCCTTAACTAGTTTGATTTATAGGCAGTATATGATATGAAGTTTAGTTTTAGTTTTTGCAGGTAGTAATAACTTCGAATTCCTCGCTAAATCTTTATATTTCGGGAGGAAAAATTGTACAAAATATGATACCTGCGAGACTTAAAGCTTCAACATTCATTCAGTTCATCCCATTTCCTTCTTCAGTCTTATTTCTAAATCTAAAATTGATATATTCAGAATATTCTTTGTTTTTAGTTTACTTCATACTACACACAGCAGTATACAATGTGCAGAAGTACTTTCAGAAAAGAATTATTTCAAGAATTACATTTAGTCTTTCTATCGTGAAATAATTCATTGAATTCTACTTCTGTCACACAGTCATGTAGAAAATCACATAAAGTACATGTCTAGCCCTACTTGTTTTCGGTAAGTACGCTTTTGCATATTCTGTATCGTTTAAGCACTTAGAGATTGATAAAAATAAATAGTTTTATCGATCATTCCTTGCAAATTATCAAATAGCTAAGCCTTGAACATGCTTCAATGCATTTCCAAGCTGTTTTGCACTCATTTCCATACTTTCGCCAACTGATAATGAAGTGATTTCATGATCACACTAACGATAACACTTTATGTCTTTTTGT